AGGGTCTGTAGCGTGGGAAAAATTCAGTCTAACAAAATACAGCACGGAGAAGAAGACAACTCGATCGCTGGGACAATACTTTTATTCGCCTGAAGTTTCAACATCCGTCGCGGATTCATCATCGGAGACATTAGCATAAAACGGTGGCAGAAACGGGTCTGCTGCCGTTTTATGCTAATACCTCTGATGATGAATCCGCGACAAATGTTGAAATGTCAGGCAAATAAGAGTATATTCCCAGCGATCGAGTTGGCTTCTTCTCAATTACTTCCTTGGACTCGTATGTATGTATGTATTGTATTGGCGACATACAGCATGTGCTTGAATAAAAAAATATAGCCGAGACCCCCAAAAAGAGAAGTTTAATTTCATCAAAGGGACTTACCTGTTTAACGCGCATCCGATTACAACCACCAGGCGAACACCGAGCCTGGGTGCGAGAAGTCCCCCAAAAGGCATAAACAAGCCCTGGGCTGCCAAGGCCGCAGCAGAAACCCACACCGTACTACCTTTGTTGAACTCGGGATCGATGTATGTTTTAATGTAGGAGGCAATGTATGGCGTCATGTTGCCTTAAGGGATCCAGTTATAGGCATCAAAAAGGAATCTTACCGATTGTGTACATGCAACCAAAAGACAAATGCACCAAGAATCCCGCAATAACGACAGAGATGCCATGGATTACTTCTGACCGCTTCATGTCTAACCCGGCGTGAGTTAACTGCTAAACAGGGAACTATTCAATTTATTAATTCTAATCGGTAGGTTCTTTTGAATGCATGATTGCTTTCTGTGAGCTGATTGGTCAAGGGTCCTGCGAAATTTCGGCTCGTTTGGCCCAACCTCTTCCAATTGGCTAAAATTGTCTTGGTTACTTTTTTTAACTTCTGTGGAGGTCACATGCAGCATTCGTTGGATTGACAAGATTTGGTGCAACCAACAGGTAATTAGTATGAACAAAGACAGCAATTTGAATTTTGACCAATAAAAACGCTGGTAACCAGTTGACTTGGAATTCGGCCGTTATGTTGCGCGTTGACAAAAAACCAACTTATACTAAGTTGAAATATTCATTTTAGTGTACTTTCTAGTACCCAAAACCGCCCTATCTGTTGACAGTCTTTCGAATAGCAGCTGAATATTTTGGACATATATTTTCGTGAGCCTAGAAGTTATTCTGGTGAATTCTAGATGATCGCTTAGGAAATTCTGTCTGCGTAGTCAGCTTAGTGTATCCCTAATCATGGATTCCATACGAGCAGGGGGCTGGGCGAAGAAATCGATTCTAGTGTGATTAAATGCCAAGCTTCGGTGAGCCTCGTAGTTCAGTGGTAGATCGTTGGCTGTATGAAAGCTTTGCCTGCTGAGGCCGCAAACTTGTCATTATTGAGTCATATAAGTTTTCCGAGATCTCAAATTGTATTCTAGTAGCCGAAAACTGCCGAACATTAACGCAAGTAAGAAAGGATGATGAACAATTCTTAAACAGATGTGTGCAGCAGCAATTATTGGTGCAACGATTTTCTTAACGGCTAAGTAACCGCAACCCTTCTTTGCATAAGATGCATAACAAATGGAAGTACCCAGGAGTTTCAATGTACACAGAATGTTACCTTATAATAGCAAGGGCCATATTTCTATCACAGTCCTCAGTAAGTCTAGGCACAAGATAAGCAGGGCCATCGCAGACTGACCACATGGTCTAACTGTTTGCATGACTCGGCTCTCCCCCGCCGTTTATAGGTGGCTTCCAAGTAGCATAGGGTCCATATTGCTACTGAACATGGAGAACTGTTGTAAGAGCACCGGACCGACCGCTGTCTAAGCAGACGTTCAGT